AGTACCGGCTCTGAAGTCAGGAGGACCTGAGTTCAAATCCAGCCTCAGACCAAACACTTCACACTTACTAGCTGTGTGACCCTGGGCAAGTCACTTAACCCCAGTTGCCTAAAAACAAAACAAAAAAAAAAAGAAACCTCTGGTGAAGCCTGTTACCTGCCTCCTGTCAGAGAGGCATGGATGGATGATATGAATTTGCTTTACTTGACCATGCTTATTTGTAAACAGGGCTTTTTGTCTCCTTCCTCTCAGTTTTTAAGCAGAAGGGGTATTGGAAGGACAATAGCAAGAGTGATGGGAAAAAGAAGACCACTGAAATATTTTTTGTGCACAAAAGAGAATAGAAGTTGAGAAAGAAGCCCAATTGCCTCATCAAAAAAAAAACAAAACAAAACAGAAAAACCTAGAAGAGAAAGAAGCACAGATAATCAGGACAGCTTTGTAAGTGATATTTAGAATTTATTAAATGCTTTTTAAAAAACCAAGCAGTATGAAATGGAATGGTTTTATATACAATTCTCTTGTGTTCTGCCATGTATGGGGAAATACTAATTTTTTGCAAATAAGTTTAGAATAAAAAAATAAAACTAATTCAAAAAAGAAAGTGATCTTCAGCTTGGAGAACAGAAGACCTGAGAGCAATTGTCAAATGACTGTCCCACAGAAGAATGATGAGTCTTGTTCTGCTAGGGCCCAGAGAGCAGAGTCAGGAGCACTGGGGGAAAGAGGATGAATTAGACTGAATATCAGTAAACTCCCTGACAACTGAAGAAATCCAGTAGGGAAAGGGAAGAAAGGGGATGCGTCAGAAGGTCATGGGTTTGCTATTGCTTAAGTAGGGGCTAGATGACCATTTGTTATGGACCTCAGAGAGGGGATTCATACTATTTAGATGTTCTTTGAGGTGCCTGCCAGTCCTGCAAGTTTGTGACTATCCTTCTCTGTGTCAGGAGCTTCTGGGGTTGCCTTTCTGTCTCTTCCATAACTCTATGACTGTGTCTATCTACCTGTGTCCCTAATCCTTTCTTCCCCACCCCATGGCTTTGAAGCTTTATCTCAGATTCTCTGTCGCTCCCATAGCTGTGAGTTCTCTCTCTCTCTGTCTCTCTCTCTCTCTCTGGCATCTCCTCTAGTGATGGGAAAGGAGCTGCCCCCAGGCCTGAGTTAATTTTAGATGCATTCTCTCATTAGATACAATTAGGAAGGAGTCCAGAAAGCATCTGCTGGAAACCTGAACAGCTTCAGCCACTGAGGGCGGGCACAGGCCCTGCCCAAGGTCATTGACTCCCCCATTAGACCTAGGACCATGTCAGTTCATCCTAGCCAGACTTAAACACTGCCCTCAGATATGCAGACCCCTGGACTTGAGTTTCCATTTCTTCCCTCAGACATGGTCAAGGAAATTAAATAGAAAAAAAAGCTGGAAAAGGAAAGAGGGGAGGGTCATTGGAAGAGATAAAATGGGTGAAGGAGGAGGAAATAGGGAGCTGGGAAATGTGGGAAAGGAGAGTCAGAGGTGGAAGGTCACAATATGGAGAATTAGAGAATGCAGGGTCCATGTGGGAATGGGGAGATCAGACGAAGAATAGTCAAGAGGCGGGGGGGGGGGGGGGGGAGGGACTGTGATCAATCAATCAACAAGCTATTTATTGACCTTTCAGAAACATTTGACACTGTTAACCAGCCCTTCTTTCATATATATTCTCTCCTTCCCAGTCTTTCATGGCTGGTTGCCAGAGCATGGCTTCTGTCATACTTCTCCTCCCTCCCTAGCCAACCCTTTTTAGTGTCCTTTGCATGATCACCATCCATGGCCCGAAGTCCGATGGTGAGCGTACCCCTAGGCCTTTGTCTTGGGCATCTTTCTGCACTCTCCCGTGGACTCAATTATCATCCCTATATAGGTCCCTCACTTATTTACCTAGTCATCCAATAACTTTCTTGAACTCCAGTCCCATGACTCCAACTGCTGGACAGCTCCACTGACACAGGCCTCTCTTAACTCCTCGCGTCCAACTGGAATTCGTTATTTTCCCCTAAACCCAACCCTCCTCCCAACTTTCTAGGACACCCCCAGCCTTCCAGTCATCCAGGATGGTGACCTCAGAGTCATCCTCCACTCTCCCCTCTGCTTCATCCCACCATATTCAATCAGTTGCCAACTCTTGCTGATTCCACTCCTGCAAAGTCTCTCCTATCTCTGCCCTTCTTTTATTTTTTTTAAATATCTTTTATTTTTCTTGTTTTGGTGGTGGTGTTTTGTTTTTGTTTTTTTTTTTGCAACATGGCTAATGTTTTGCATGACTGAACAAGTACAATCTATATCAAATTGTTTGCCTTTTTAAAGAAGGGAGAGGGAAGTAAGGGAGAGAATTTGGAACTCAGAATTTTAAAAAAAAGAATGAATATTAACAATTTTACATGTAAATTCATGTAATTTCAAATAAAAAAAAGAATTGATATAAAGTGAAGTGAGCAGAAACAAGAAAACAATTTATACAGTAATGGCAATATTGTGGAGACAACTACATATGAAAGAATTAGAAACTCTGAGCAAAACAATGACCCATCTGGGTTCTGCCCTTCTTTGAACTCACATCACAACCACCCTAATCCAGACCTCTTGCCATCATCACCTTTTGCTTGAATGACTTCAAAGTCCTCCTAATTCTCTCCAAATCATCCTCCCACCCAGCTGCCAAAGTGTTCTTCCTAAATCACAGATCTGACCATTTCACAGCCCAGCTCAAGAAGCTTCACTGGCTCCCTATTCTCTCTAGAAAAAAAAGTGTATATATATGTGTATATGTATATATATATATATGTATATAAATATGTGTGTATGTATGTATACACACACACACATACACACACACACACACACACACACACACACTTCTCTGTTTGGCATTTAAAGCCCTTTACAATCTGGTTCAGGTTACCTTCCCAGGCTTATTATACGTGGCATATTTACCATTCAGGAACCATCTTGCTTGCTTGTATTTGTAACCCTAGAATTTAGCATAGCATCTGGAACACAGAAGGTGCTTAATAAATGCTTTTCATTCATTCACTCTCAGTACATGTCATTCCATTTCCCACTTCCATGTCCTTGCACAGGCTGTCCTCCATGTCAGGAATTCTGTGCCTCCTCACTACCTCTTGGAGTCCTGAGCTCATTTCTTCAAGAAGAATTTTCTAAATCCCCGAAGTTGTTAGCATCCTCTGAAAATCACAATTTGTATCTATCTTCCAGTCACCCTCCAGTGGACCATCAACTCTTTGAGAGCAGGGCTGGTTCCCTTTCACATTTGTATCCCCAGCACCTTGCCCAGTGCACATAGTAGGTGCTCAACAATCAAGTAAATATTATTCAGTGCCCTACTATAAGCCAGGCACTGTGCGAGGTGCTGGGCATACAAATGTAAAAGGGAACCAGCCCCGGCCCTCAAGATGTTTACATTTGACTTGTTTATAGTGAAATAAATATGGGATGGATACAAAATAAACACACACTTAAGGGGGTGGGGTGGACACTAACAACTGGGGGAATAGAGGTGGTTTCTGGAAGAAGGGGGCGTTGGAGCCGAGAAGTTCTCAAGCATGTGGGTGTCCCAGGATGGAGGATCAGAGGACTGGGGGCCAGAGGATTAGGGGTCCGATGGACAGAGCATGAAGGAGCACAAAGACGTTTGAGGATGGGGGAGTCAGAGGATCAGGGGTCGAAGGATTGAGAATCATAAGGAATCCTCGGAGCATGGAGGGTCAGAAGGAAGGTCAGGAGATGGGGGAGGGGATCTAAAGGATGGGGGACCAGAAGAAGAGGGGTTAGAGGATGGGGGTCCACAAGGGGGCCTGAGGATGCGGGTGGATGTCCGAGAAGATGCGGGGCGGGGCGGGGCGGAGAACGAGAGAGCACGAGGAGGCTCCAAGGATGGAGGAGGGGGCGGTGAGTATTTCTGTCTCGTGGGCGGGGGAGGGCGGGACTCCAGGGTCCCCCCCGGCCCGAGGCCGGCGTCCATCGGCATAGATGACCGGTCGCCTTTAATCGGGGTCGCGCCTTTGCCTTTGCCTTTGCCTTTAATCGGGGCGCTCCTGTCCCTTTAATCGAGACCGCGCCTTCGCCTTTAATCGGGGCCGCGCCTGCGCCCGGCCCTGGGTTCCCGGAGCGACCCTCGCGGAGGCCGCCACGCGCGGAACAGACCCGGGTGGGGGGGGCCCCCCACGGCGGCGGCGGCGGCAGCGGCGGCAGCGCCTCGTCCCCCTCCTCCTCCCTCTCCCGCTCCGGCCGGGCCCCGCGTGGGCGCGCCTGGGCCACGGTCACGGCCACGCGCGGGGCGGGGCGGGGCCTCCTGCGGCCTGCGGCCCCTCCCCCCCCGGCCCCGCGCGGCGGCCGCCG